TGTGTTCCAACATGTGTGTTTGGCTCAGTGCTTGGTGCTAGAATGAGGTCAGAATATTTTGTTAGGGTCCTCCAATTGTCTTACTGCTGGAGGTTTGCATGCTAGAATTTTCAAAGTGTTTTCCCACAGTTATTTCTCTTTTGCTAATGACATTAACAGAGTTCAAGGCTATGAAAATGGTTGCTGAAGCCCCCGGAAGTTTGTTATGTTTGAGTGGGAGTCTTATTCTGTGGCCCATGCTGAAGTGCAGTGTCATACTCACGGTCACAACAGCCTTGATCTGCTGAACTCAGGCAAATCCTTCCACCTCAGCCTTCCAAGTTGCTGGAACCACAGGTATGTGCCACCGCACCTGGCTTATTATAGAGACGAGGTTTTGCCAAGTTGCCCAGGCTGGTCTCAAATCCCTGAGCTGAGGCAATCCTCTCACCTCCTCCTCCCAAAGTGCTGAGATTATAGGAGTCAGTCACAGTGCCCAGCCAGAAATTTCTTAAGAGCTGCCTAGGCTCTTATAATTCTTTTATTTATTAATTTATTTTTGAGTTGGAGTCTCACTCCATCGCCCAGCCTGGAGTGCAGTGGCACACTCACGGCTACCCCCGTTTCGACCTGCTGGGCTCTGGTGATCCTCCTATCTCAGCCTTCCAAGTAGCCAGAATACAGGTACACAGTACCACGCCCAGCTAACTTTTTGATTTATGGTAGAGAGGAGGTCTCGCCAAGTTGTCTAGGCTGTTCTCAAGCCCGTGGACTCAGGCAATCCCTGCACCTTGGCCTCCCAAAGTGCTGGAATTACAGGCTTGAGCCCCTATGCTCTAGTGGTCCTCATGTAGGGTATGGCCTTGTTAGTGGAAGAGTCAGGCACGGGTCAGGTCTCCTGACGGTCTTCTGCTCTCCCCACGACCCTCGGCTTTCATCTTTGGAGATATGTTCATGGGTTGGGTAAAAAGGTTTTGGATCGGGCACAGTGGCTCACGTCTGTAATCCCAGCACTTTTTTGAGGCCAAGGCGAGAGGATTGCTTGAACTCAGAGGTTCGAGACCAGCCTAGGCAACATTCGAAGCCCTCGTCTTTACAAAAAAAATTTTTAAATTAGCCAGGTGTCGTGACATACACCTGTAGTGCCAGCTACTCAGGAGACTGAGGCAGAGGGATCACTCGAACTCAGGAGGTCGAGGCTGTGGTGAGCTGTGATCATGCTCCTGCACTCCAGCTTGAGCAACAGAGTGAGAACCCAACTAAAAAAAAAAGTTTGTTTTTTTTTTTCTTTTTGAGTTGGAGTCTCACTCTGTTGCCCAGACTGGAGTGCAGTGGCATCCTTCCGCCTCAACCTTCCAAGTAGCCGGAACTACAGGCGCGTGCTACCACACCCAGCTAATTTTTGATTTATTGTAGAGATGAGGTCTTGCTGCCCAGGTGGGACTCGAACCCGCAGGCTCAGGCAATCCACTCACCTCAGCCTCCCAAAGGTGCGGGATTATAGGCTGAGCCACCGAGCCCAGCTTAAAAAAAAAGTTTTAAAGAAGCAAGTCATGATTCTATTTGAGAAATATAAAAGCATGAAACTCCGGCTGTAGAGTGTTTGAGAAGATTTCTTAACCTAATTCTGATGGAATCACCTGGAAAGAAATGCTGGATACTTTGGTTACTGTGAATCACACTACCCTGTGTTGGCCTAACACAGACAAGGCTGCAGGTCTATTCGCTTCTATAGTAGACAGTAAGAGCAATGAGTGGTCTTCCTTTTTAACCTTAGGATTAGTGTAGATAGAGTCCTTTAGAAAGGCATGGTGGAATAGTCACATATGAAACAACTGATTCTGCAGGAAAGAGTGATGGAGACCCAGCTCAAACCCAGCATGCAAAGAAAACAGCCTGAGATGCAAAAGGTGCCGAGTTGTCATATGGTTTAGGACTGTGACACTTTTTTTTTTTTTTGAGTTGGAGTCTCGCCCTGTTGCCCAAGCTAGAGTGCAGTGGCACACTCACGGCCACTGCAGCCTCAACCTGCTGAACTCAGGCAATCTTCCACTCAGTCTTCCAAGTAGCTGGAACCACAGGCACATGCCACCACGCCTGCTAATTTTTTGATTTATTGTAGAGATGAGGTCTCACCAAGTTGCCCAGGCTGGTCTTGAACCTGTGGGCTTAGGCAATCCTCTCACCTTGGCCTCCCAAAGTGCTAGGATTATAGGCATGAACCACCGCACCTGGCTTTTTCTTTTCTTTTTCTTTTTCTTTTTTTTTTAGTTGGAGTCTCACTCTGTCACCCAGGCTGGAGTGTAGTGGCATGCTCACGGCCACTGCAACCTTGACCTGCTGGACTCCGGTGATCCTTCCACCTCAGCCTTCCAAGTAGCTGGGACTACAGGCATGCGCCACCACACCCAGCTAATTTTTTTATTTATTGTAGAGACGAGGGTTCGCCATGTTACCTAGGCTGGTCTCAAACCCGTGGACTCAGGCAATCTTCTCACCTCAGCTTCCCAAAGTGCTGGGATTACAGGCGTGCGCTCCCGTGCCCGGCTAGGACCATGGCATTTTTATCTTTCGACTCTTTAATCACAGATAAGCCTAAGAGATCCGCTGTGCACAAATCTCTACGTACCAAGGTAGCTCCTGCTTAAACTTCACAAGTCATTGATTAAATCAAGGGGTTGTGCTAGATGATTCGCCCTGAGTAACAGGGATTTCAATTCATCTGCTTCCCATAGAGGTTCTGAACCCGTGCCTGGGGGTCCTCAACATGATTTGCAGTGATCTACTCGGGTGCTTTCACCTGTCTCTTCTCCTCCTCACCTGTCCTTCAGTTTCCATGATTGTGCATCTTTGCATGTGTTAACTCAACAATGCAGGACTGTGTCTGGTTAGCTCAGGTGACTATAAGGAGGATCTCAGATATGGATACTTTGGGTCACAAGGAAAACCAGCGGGTGCGTGTGATGGAGGTCACACTGAAATGGGTCACCATCACCAGCAAAATAAATTCAGGAGGTACACTTAGCAAGTGGAGACCTTGTCGTTCCTGCCTTCTGGATCTGCTTTCCTGCTACCTCCTCTAGTGGTCAGAGCTTGTCCTGTTTATAAGAATTGAAGAGGTATCTTGAGTGATAGAACCATCTGTAGGTGCAGCATCTCAAAAGATATGAATTTCCACCCGCATAATCTCTCTAAGTCTTTCCTGATTTTCTTTCTTTCTTTTTTTTTTGAGGTAGCAGGATTTATTGAGAAGACAGAAAGGCTCCTACAGTGGGAGGGGACCCAGGGGTTGCCCCTTTCCTGATTTTTGATACTGTTTGCCTTCAAGTGCTAGAAGGGAAAACTGCAGAGAGGCTAAGATTGCCTTAAGGTTTTTGTGTCGATTTAGTAGATTAGATGTTCGACTTTCTGATTTCATGGGTGCAAACTTTTACCAATCTCTCTAGAGACATATTGTAGTTGAACATTTTATATTTGGTTTTGGCTCTAAATGGTAGTGATGGGTTATCAGAATTCTGTTATGAAGTTTTTGAATGCTCTATGTATATCTTCTTTGTTTTAGTTACTAAGTACTGATAATAATCATTTATGACCAGGCTTGGTGGCTCAGCCTATAATCCCAGCACTTTGGGAGGTTGAGGTGAGTGGATTGCCTGAGCTGCGGGTTTGAGACCAGCCAGGGCAAATTGGTGAGACCTCGTCTCTACAATAAAATTAAAAATAGCCAGTCGTCTGTAGTTCCGGCTACTCGGAAGGCTGAGGTGGAAGGATTGTTGGAGCCCAGAAGGTCAATGCTGGGGTGGCTGTGAGCCTGCGTGCTACTGCACCCCAGCCTGGGCGAAGGAGTGAGACTCCAACTCAAAAAAAAAAAAAAGATAATTTATGTACTAATCAGAAGATAACAGTTTCTAACCAGATGAAGGAGAGAAAGTTGGTCGCTATCTTCTGACAATTACTATGTGACTGGCATATATTTGTGATTTTACTTACATTAGCAGAATATGCAAACATTCGCTTTTTAAAAGTCCTCTTGAGTTCATATGCAGTCTAAAATAACCTAATGGAGAACTTGTACTTTATAGAAAAGAGTTAGCCATAAAATGAAGTTTTCATTCTTTTCTAAATTTGCATAACCAAGGAATTGATGAGTTTTGTGGCACATTATTTTAAGGGTGTAAACAACTTACAATATCTGTATATTTACCTTTTTATTTCCTAAAAGGACAGAACAGTTCTACCTGTCTGAAGTTCTTTGAGGTTGATTGTAGTTTCCCCAGAAAACTAAGAGTAAAACACATTTTAGGACTTCAGTTTTGGGCAGTTGGCATATCAGATGCTCTTTAGGTTGTCATGCATGTGACTAAGATGACAGGAGACACAGTTCCCCCCTAGGGAACTGCTGTTAGACCAACTGACCAAGAAGGGGTCACTTCCTCTGTTTTGCAAGTGGACCACCAGATTTAAGTCTCCAAATCTCCATCAGACCCCACTGATCCCATATTCTAGATCTCAGGTCCTCTCAAGAACCTTCTCAGGTAAATCTACCCTACTGGCTGGTGATGAATACGGTGAACGCTAACCCTAACTTTTTTTTTTTTTTTTTGCCGATAACCCTAGCTTAACCAAAGGATGATTTTTCTCTTGCCAAATGTATAGCATCAAATTTTCCTGTAGCATACCAGTTCATTGCTTCCCAGCATTGACATGATACATTGATCTTGTTTCTCTTTGTGTATTCAGAAAATATCAAGTACTTAGTATGCGCCAGGCACATGTTACTATGTCTGCATTGCATGTACATATGACATGCAGTGAAGCGAGAGATGTGCAGCTTTGTCACTGACTAGTCAGATCACTGACCCTCCATGAGGCATGTGTGAAGTCAGGGGTTTGGGCCAGGAGATTGATCTCTGAGCTCCCTTGCAAGACTCATGCTCTGTGGTCTTACCTACCCGGAAGGACTAAATACAGCACTGTTCAGATCTGCTCTGTCTGAGGCTTCCTTTCTGCTTGTTTTTCAGAAATGTGAAAATAAAAACTGGAGAATGGTTCTTTGAGGAGCGAGCCAAGAAATTTCCAACTGAAGGTAAATGATTTTAATTTTTTTTTTACTAAAGTAAAATGATATATCCCTGGTTTTAAAATATTCGGTGTTAAGACTTTTGAAAAGAAAAGTTTTTTTTTTTTTAACTTTCAGTGGACTTGGTCTATAGGCACCTGTGTCTGGTCTTCCTGTTCCATTTGTTGAAGCTTTGGTGCCCCTGCACTTAACTCATGTTTTTTTGGTACCTTTCCTACCCATTTCTACCTGCTGAGATCAACCCAGTTCTTTAAAAGTCAGGTGGTGCCAGTATGGTGGCTCAGGCCTGTAATCCTAGCACTTTGGGAGGCTGAGATGGGAGGATGGCTTGACCCCAGGAGTTGGAGACCAGCTTGAGCTACACAGTAAGACTCCCATCTCTACAAAAAATCAAAAAATGAGGGTCTGGTGATACATCCCTGCAGTCCCAGCTGCTTGGGAGGCTGAGGTGGGTGGATTGCCTGAGCCTGGGCGATAGAAGTTGTAGTGAGCCATGATTGCACCACTGTCCTGCAGCCTGGGCGAGAGAGCCAGACCAGACTCAAAAAAATAAAATAAAGGTCAGTTGCCACAAAGTTTCCCTGACTTCCTGCTTCCGGGAGTGATGTCAACCTCTCTGAAACACTGAAAGCATCTGGTGTGTGTGTATCTTCCATAATTGTTGCAAAGTACCTTATATGACAAGATTATTTATGTACTTCTATTTCCCTCCACAAGCAAAAGCTGTGCTTTTAAAGTCTTGTGGAGGGAAATAGAAGTGGAGACCCCAAAAGATGGGAGGCTGGAAGGGGGGTGAAGGCTAAAGAATTGCCTATTGAGTACAGTGTTCACTATGCAGGTGATAGAGACACGAAAAGCCCAGACGTCACTACTACACAATAGACACATGTAAAAAATTTGCATATGTCCACCCTAAATTTATTAAAATTAAAAGTAATTATCAGGGCCAGGCACAGTGGCTCGTGCCTCTAAACCCAGCACTTTGGGCAGCTGAGGTGGGCAGATTGCTTGAGCCCAGGAGTTCGAGGCAGGCCTGGGTAACATAACAAGACCTGGTCCCAACAAAAAATAAAAAAAATTATCCGGGCATGGTGGTGTGTGTCTGTAGGCCCAGCTACTTGGGAGGCTGAAGTGAAAGGATCACATGGGCCCAGGAGGCTGAGGTTGCCATGAACCATGATTGTTGTGATCATGCTACTGCACTCTGCCTGGGTCACAGAGTGAACCCCAACTCAAAAATGAATAAATAGGTAAATAGACAGATAGAAATAAAAATAATTGTCAGGCCCAGAGGGGTATTGAAATGATCCAGTCATGTACTAGTCTACCTTCAGCTAAGTCATCTTTTCAAAGCCACCTGCTGAAATGACTCCACACTGAGTGTCACCAATAGCCACAAATTAACAGTCATCCTCTGGACACCCCAACTCATAACCCATAGTTAACAATATGTAGCCAATCACTAATCAACATTATCTCAGTAAACCAATGAGAATTCCTGGAAAAACAACTTCTATAATCGCCCCTCTCCTGATTTGTCCTTTTTAATTTAAAAACAGAAGACTCCCCTTTGTTCTCCAAAACATATTTCAGGATAACTTGGAAGTGTTTCCCAGGCTGCAGTCCTCAACTGTGGCCCAAATAAACTCTCTACTAATATGAATTTTGCCTCGGTTTCTTCCTTTAGGTCGATATATCACTATAAGACACTGCTGGTATACAGACCCACTGCCCACATCCACTCATAAACGCCACAGTTACCCCCTCCCTAATCATCAACTTCAGCCCTGTTCCAACGCTGCTCACTCAGGTCTTCAGTTATTCAATTATTTTGACCACGGATCATGAACAGGGTTGTGGTGAACTGTGATTGTGCCACTATGCTCTAACCTTGGCGACAGAGTGAGACCCTGACTCAAAAGAAAGAAAGAAAAGAAAAAGTTCATTTTCTTTCTCAAAAGTATTTGCAAAGCATGACATGACAGTGTAAGCCCTAGGACACAGAGAGAACGATTTGTGCTTTGGTCACAGAAGTGCTGCGTCAGGGTATCAGGACAGAGGCGTACACACATCATCATAATCAAGTGGAGGCGAGAGTGTGTGAGTCCAAGACTGGCACCCTCCTCTGTGACGTGACGGTGGGGACCTAGACTCACAGACTGAGAGGGCATCAGGGCTTGAAACATTTGGCCTTTTTCTAGGAAAAGGGGCAGTTTGAGGTAGAGCAACAAGCCATAAGCCTCACCCGAGGCCGATCTCTGAGAGTCGTGGCTCAGTTTGTATAAAAGGAGTGTTCGCCAAGGCACAGGTTCAGTTGGAATTCAGTTCTCCCTGAATTCTATTCCTGACTCTTCTTACTCAAGAACAGAGTTCTTTTCTTTTTTTCCTTTTTTGAGTCAGTTTCGCTCTGTTGCACAGGCTGGAGCCCCGTGGCATGATTGTGGCTCACCATGAAAGTCAGAGTTTCATACAGGCTGTGTGCATAACATGATCATGGCTCACCACAACTTTTGCTTCCTGGGCTCAGGCAATCCTTCTGCCTCAGTCTCCCAAATAGCTGTGACTATAGGTGTGAGTCACCACACCTGTCTAATTTTTTATTTTTCACTTTTTGTAGAGATGAGGTCTTGCTATGTTGCCCAGGCTGGTCTCAAACTCCTGGGCTCAAGCGATCCTCCTGTCTCTGCCTCCCACAATGCTAGGATTACAGGCGTGAGCCACTGTACCCGGCCCTGAAAGGCTTTTCATGTTTTGCCAGAGTACCCTCTGGAAGTCTGTATTCATTGATGCTATCCTGGCAGGGCATGTAAGTTGTCTTCTCCCCACTCTCTGGCTCCTCTGAAGTCCTAACTTTGGAAGCATGATTTCAAATTACAGTTGTGATTTTGTTTTGAATGTAAAAGTAATATGTATTCATTTGAAAAATTGGAAAATGAAGAAAACCATAAAGATCCATGTTAAAAATATAGCAATTCAGAGAAAGATGGCTGACATTTTGATATGGATCATTTCTGTTCTCTTGTGAGTGTACGCATCTACATCTGTGGGTGTACGTGTGAATGTATGTATATACAAACATAACCATACACACACAGTTTTTTTTTTGAGTTGGAGTCTCTCTCTGCCCAGGCTGGAGTGCAGTGGCACGCTCATGGCCACTGCAGCCCCCACCTGCTGGGCTCAGATGATCCTTCCACCTCAGCCTTCCAAGTAGCTGGGACTACAGGCACATGCCACCACAGCTGGCTAATTTTTTGATTTATTTTAGAGAGGAGGTCTCACCAAATTTCCTGGGCTGGTCTCGAACTCCTGAGCTTAGGTAATCTGCTTGCCTTGGCCTCCCAAAGTGCTGGGATTACTGGTGGCACTTTAGCCACCGTGCCCGGCTCATATACACACATTTTAGAGTATTTAGGTTGTCCCATAAGAAATTAATATTTTTAGGTAAATTATTAAATAAAGACAATTTCATATGAGTCAAACTAACACATTTATGTCATCGGAATCTTATGTACAGTTTAATCCCAATGTTTCTTCATATAAAAATTTATAGGGAATATTTCTTAGATCTGTAAATGCCATTGGCTATATGATTTTTGATGACTGCAGCTCATTTCATCATTTGTTTAAACAAATCAATATTCTTGGATAGTTGTGGAATTTCCAGTTTTCTGATACCTTTTGAGTTTATATTATTCACAAAATAATAAATAATAGTGCAATGACTGTCCTTATAGATAACTCTTTGGCACATCTCTGAATATTTCTAGAAAGAGAGCAAGATGGAGGTAAGGAATGGTGCCTCCAGAGAGCAGAGAGGGTATGCCCCTATCACCAGTAGGAATTATCCTTCAAAACAAGCAACTTTGTCAGTTTAATAAAGCCACATGGATCATCCAAAATGATTTTCTCATTGTTTTAATTTGAATTCATCTAATCACTAAGGAGACGAAATATTTTCAACTTTTGCACCTTCTGTGGATGTTCTTTGAATGTTAAGGTCTTTTGGTTTTAAACTTCTTGTTTCTGACATGGAGAAGTTGTTCTGTGTGCAGTCATACCTGCTTCTTCTCGGATCATTCTTTCTTTGCTTTTTAAATATTTAGAGTCGTCTTCCTCATCTTGTGATCTGGTTAAATAGCCACATTAACTTTCTTTTAATTTTTTAAAATATTTATTTATTTATTTTATTTTTTTGAGTTGGAGTCTCACTCTGTCACCCAGACTGGAGTGCAGTGGCTGCTCCCGGCCACCACAGCCTCGACCTGCTGGGCTCCGGCGATTCTTCCGCCTCAGCCTTCCAAGTAGCTGGAACAACAGGCGTGCGCTACCACGCCTGGCTAATTTTTTTTGTGTGTGTGATTTATGGTAGAGATGAGGTCTCGCTAAGTTGCCCGGGCGTGTCTCGAACCCGCGGGTTCAGGCAATCCACTTCATCTTAGCCTCCCGAAGCGCTGGGATTACAGGCTGAGCCACCAAGCCTAGCTAACTTTCTTCTAATTTGTATTGAACTACTCACAATTCTTCAGGAGAGGAGGCCTGACCTGTTTTTGTTTGTTTTTCCCCGATGTTCCATAATGAGTCCCTTTCCCATTGCTTTGTAACCCAGGGCCATTGCTTTGCACGGCTTCTCCCTCATGCCCAGCCTGGTGCTCTCGGGTGTCTGTCTTGTAGAAGACCACACGATGCTGTCCTCCTTTTCCTGCAACTCTTGGCGGTTCTGTCCTAACCAGATTCCGAATTGTTGAGGGCAGGAGCTAAGAGTCAAGGAGTGAATACATGAGCTCAGCAAGGATAGGGTTGTTTGGCCATAAAACGTGATGTTATGAATAGTGCTGCCTGTGGTCAGTCCTTAGCACCAAGCAGGCACCTTAGAAATGTCAAGAAGAGTTCCCTTTCTTTTTGGCACCTGAAACCTGAAGCTCAGTGTTATGTCCAAGTGAAGTAATTCTGGGAATCATCATGCCCTGAACCACCCAACTTCCTCTTCAGTAGCTTTTCTTTAT